TAAGCATTTGCATCATAGTCATTATATGCACTGTATCCCCTGTGTTTGCCATCCACATTATCGTTACTATATCCAGAATCCAATTTGGCATAACGTCCTTTTTCAGTCGACTCAAAGTCGTCCAGTGCACGTCCTTGATATCGCTCCGATTGAAACCAGTCATCTCTCAGTGTGTGCCTGATATCCTCATTGTTTGTGACGGGACTATGTGATCGATAACCACTTGTAATTCGGCTATTTTTAGTTGTGAAGTCATTCTCTATTACTTCAGTATCGTCTGTAACAAACGAGTGATTTCAATTAACATACAGGAATGAAATCAGCTGGCATACATACATAGTTTTCGTCAGAATTTTGCTGATACTGGAAAATTTATTCCTGGAATACCTCAAAGAAATACATGAATTCAAAGTAATTGTGGTTTATTAATCTATTAATGTCAACTGACATACCTTTTATAGTTACTTGCTTTCTCGGCGGTGTTCGAGTATTCAAATCATGAGTATACTGCCCTCGGTGGTCAGGTACCTAGAAGTGAAATAGAACGTCAATTACATTGTGCACATAAAACTGTTATTCGTTTTATCTAAAGTAAATGATATTGAATATGTGTACATAACAAATACAATGCAGATATACATTGTAACCTCGTTATAATGAACACCTTCATAAGGAATTTCCTTTATAATGAACACATTGAATATCTCCCACTCATAACAAGCATAATGCTTCACTATAGTGAACACTTCACTCATTGTATGTTTCCAAAAAAGTTTGTTACAACAAGGTCACAGTGTGAAGTGAGTTAGTGCAGTTGTACATATGCACACAAACCTCATTTTATTTTATGCTTGATCATTAAAATCTGAAATATTTTGACACACCTCAGTCATTTACATAAGCACATTCGAAAAAAACAATAAAGTACTGTAAAATACTTTTATTTTCGCTTGGAATTAATTTTCGCTGAAGAAATGATTCAGTGAAAATAAAATCCAGCGAATAAATCTTTTTTCCTATATTTTACATTCAACTTGTCAAAAATTAAAATAAATTCCGTACAAAACCTCCAAAATATATTTTACAGTACCTAAGTATACTAGCTGTATTTTTTAAATGAGTACAACTATCCCCTCACACCAGGCTTTTAACCAGTCATATGTCTGACTGGCATTTTAGACAGGCACAACCACATTTTAATTGGGCACAAAAAAGGTTTCTTAAACCTGTCCATATATAATCAACAAAAATATAAGTCTATGTTTTAATTTGATAAAATTTTAGATCTTGCTGTACACACCTTATAACCTTTGTTTGTCCCCAATTCAACGGTTGGCACGCGGTCAACAGCAACATTACGCTCTGTATTTGTATATTTTTTTGTTTCTTGGCTAAGAGGTGAATACGGTTCTGTCCTGTGAGTTTCAGCATCTTCTAGTCTTCTTTCTGCTCTTCGTAACTGTGGAAAAATGTCACAGTGGAAATTCATAATGAGAAACCGGGTTTAAATTTTCTCATGTTGTATTTCTATATCATTTTACTCATAGTTAAAAGTATCTGAAGCTAATTGAATGAAATCATATGTATGCTGTCTTTTCTACAATCAATAAAATGAAACTATTACTGTAAAACTATTAATTTTCACTGACATTTAATTTCCCTATCTTCATGTTTTGAGCATATTCACTGTGTTTTAATTTCACAAATTTAGCAAGAAAACAATAAGTTTTATTGTTATTTTCATGTAGATTTAATTTAGCGGATATTACTTTTCTGCAAAAATAGCAAAATTAAAACCCAGTGAATAATTAATGCATTTACAATACTTTGATATTGCTGACTTTTTATTAAGACATCTTCACACTTTATCTCTTTGCATCAAACTACATCAAAGAAAGTAGTTACATTTATTAATACAAGTGATCTGTGTACAATATTATCCATATATCATATTGTAATATTGACTTAGCACCATATATCACAATGTTTTTTTATGTTCACTGTACTAAACACAGCAAAAGTACAATCCACAGCGGTAACTCGGCTGCCCCAAGTACTGTGATTTACTAGACAAGATTACTTCAATCTAATCAAATTTTAATGTTTTTGTCTTATTCCAACTTTCAGCAATACAAGTAAATACTGAACCAGGATATAACCATTGGTTGAATACATTTCTAATTACTACATTGTAAGTTCTTTTTATTTCATGTCAGGACAAGCTCACACTAAGTCATTATACATATGTACATTACACTAGTGTATCAACAAGACGCAACTGAAAAAGAATATCTTGTAATTAACAACTAATTAATTAATGAAAAATAATTAACACTTCAATTAACATGTATGAGCATGAATGTAAGACTATCTTTGTAAAAGTGAAATATACACGTCTATAAACAGAGATGGAGTGATCCAGATCATAACCACTAATCAGTGTCACAAAGGCAGATCAAAATTGGAAGTTGCATGTTTGTCCTGAACAACCAATTTTATCATGCAGCAACCAAATGTGGAAATTGATTGCCCATTGAGACCTCCATCAAACCAAATAAAGAAATCACACTATTACATAGTCCAATGTAGTATTATCTAGTGTCTACATTTTTGTTGTAAAAAACAGTTTAATTCAATTTGTTGAGCAGTTGTTTGAAATGACAGATCCACCATGATGTCAGTGCCACCAAAAATTATTCAGGTGGCATTGATGTTCAAAAGGTTAAACACAAAGTTTTATTGGACAATTATACTTTTATTTGGACAGAAGTTTGTGGTTTTACCACTGGAGGACATGTTTTTTTTTTCAATTTCTACCCCTGCTACAATAAATGAGATGCAGCAAAGTTAAAAATGGTTTCTCTGAATGAGTACAATCCATCAAATTAAATTATTTTTTTCAGGGGATATGTTAGGACTTAAATAAAAGTTTATCTGGCTGAAAGTAGCTGATCTCTCATTTGTATAACACATCACATGATCAGGCTGGTTAGTCTGACTATTGATTCAGGTCAAAACAGCAATGTGTTCCATTTCATTGTTGATTTATTTAATCCTAAATTGCATTTTAGATAAGGTTGCATGACAAGTGTAAACAACAACAAGATATTGACAGCATTTGCTCTAAAACAAAATAACAACAAATACAAAGAACTTACGTCTGATTTGGCTTCTCTCATATGGTGCCAGAGATCTGATAAAAAGAAAGTCATAGAAATTATGATACTGTAAATGTTAGCATATAACTAATTATAACAATGTGATAAAAAAAAAAATGTTTATTTTCAAAACAGTTTGACAGTATAGTGACTACAATGCATGTTCAATTTCTCTGAAAAGATGAAGAGCAGAGAAAACTAAACAGTTACAGATATTAGAGTAAAATGTTAGCAAAAGGATACTTTATAAACAAGTTCTGATACATGTATCATGCTATGCAACTAAGTATGTATGTTGATATTGTGATACAATGCACAATGACTTTATTACAGCGGGCACAAATGAGATAACTATCAATTTCCGATAACCCAATCAACTTCCCTCAGACAGTTGAAGCGATCGCAAATTCATCAAATAATTATTTTTGTTTAGTCAAGACAATGTTGCAATATGAAAACAAAAAAAAACTTAGCCATAGTATGTGCCTAGACAATTCGATCATTTGAGAACGCCAACGAAAAAGTCATGGAGATCACTATATAGGTCACCAGACTGTGACAACATTCATCATGTCACTGATCAACACTTGCTCACAATCTTCTGTTTCAATGTTGCCCCGAAAATGTTCTATTAATCGTGACACATACATTTACATTTAAAAACAGCAGCAAACAACGCTGTTATTTTATCAACCGGTGTGAACAACCAATATTCGCAAAACAGTCACTGTGCATTTGCGCAAAATGGAAACAAATACATGTACAACAGACTATTGATATAATACGTATTTGCATTTATACAATTCATACATTTGGTTGTTGTCAAACTATTTGTTTTACATTAGTAAAATCATGGAAATGTTCACAACTCAATGTGTTTTCTACATTCAAGAGTAAGATGGTGGTAATTCTTATTTGGACAAAATGCATAAAGGCTACATCAAAATTATGGGTTATATTTCCCAGTTGAGTACTCCACAAAAAATATTTTAATAAATAACAATACCGTAATAAATGAATTCTTTTTGTGTTTTGCCATATCCAAAAAATTTATGGGAAAGTAAATGTATAAAAATTAAGTTGGTTGAGCGCAAAGTATACTGCATAGCAATATAAAATAATTTTGACTTGAGTTCTAAATATAGGGACTCAAGATATATTCCATTGTGAAAGCCCTCAAATTATCAATGATTTCTAGCAGTAATAGTACAGTAAACATCATATTATTATGTACATGTAAATCTACATGCAAAATTAAAAACTGAGTTGAAAAACTGAAATTTAATTGTGTGGTTAAATTGAATTAATTGCAACCTACCATCGTATTTTTCAAAAGGTGACGGCCCTCGTTGAATCAACACTGGTTCAGTTATCCGTCTACCTTTTACTGTGTGCGACATAGCTTAAATTATAGGAAAACTGGAAAAGACAAAACAAGATATAGACTCAACAGTACATACATTGCATATTTTCTTTATTTTGTTCTACGTATCAGTTTGTGACATGAATTAAATCCCCTTTAGCTATTTATAGACAAACTGTACAGAAATGCAGGTATAGGCAATCCCTGTTATAAAGCTGAAAACTGATGGGAGCTATGGAAACTCTCGTATTATATACCCACCAAACACATATACAGTAACTGCCATCTGCTTAATATTTACTCCCCAATGAATTAGCAGCTTTATAATCTACTGTTTCATCTTGTATGCACATACATGTAAATTTAATACAGTTATCAGACTGGAAATAAATTATGATTCTATCTACTCAGTGATCTAATGTAACAACAACACCACACATGTGACTTGCATTAACTAAATTATGCAACATCAATCAACAATAATATTCATCTACAGTGTACCATCCACACTGAGAATAATTATATAGCAGACAACTTATTTAACAGCCTGTCTTTGATTTACAATAAAATTACTACTAATTAATTGAATTAGATTACAATGAATGCAAGAGAATCATTACACAACTACAGCAATAATAGCAAATTTTGCATTACAAAATAATTAGCAGTTCTGTTGTACTAAAACTCAAGATTCGGTAATTCAATTGACTTATTTTGCCAAAAGTTGATTTTGATAGAAGCATAAAATTACACATTTATAGTTATGTTAAATAGTAATTAAGATCAGAAAAAACTTCAATATGTACAATTCTGAATAAATGAAACTTGAATGCAGCATGCAGAAATACTCTGATCTGAATGAATACCTAACATACAGGCACAATAGTGAGCGGCCAGGTGATCTATGGCGCCCATTGCAGCAAAACACGTCTGGGCATACGTGTTTAGGCATGCCCTCTCTGGACTAACTAATATTTGAAGACCTCCGACAAAATAAATCAATTTTACATGAAATTATATTATATATCCTAAGAACATCGTATGACTCACTGAACAAACCAACGGTAAAACTGCGGAATTTTGGTTCTGCAGAAAAAATAACAAATGTCAACAAATAAATTCTACTCCGACGTGATTACCGGCGCCCGCCTAAAGCTATCTCGATCTGGAGCCCGAATGAGTGAAAAGGAATGACTTACACATGAGTCATATGCCGTGGCAGTTATTTCAGTATGAGTTACAGCAATACAAATATGATAACAAATGAAAGCATACATGAATCACAAGCACCTCTCTCACAGTCACCCCGAAATCACCGGTAGGTCCCGCGACCGCGGTAACGAGCTGACACATGAAAATAAGTTTTATGCAACCAATAACGATGATTTATATTTATAAACAAATTATTTTGTAAGAAGTAAAAACAAACACCGTTATGCAGTTTTGATATTCAGGTTGATCGCTCATACACACAATATATGCGCTTCAATCGGTGGAATCACAGGAACAAAATATAGCGGTAGCCATTTTGAACATCCCGATGCAGCTCGAATTAGTAAATTAATTAATGATCGATCGCAACACAGTCAGCTAACTATTCCTTGCAATAAACACTGAACTTACCTCTAAAATGATAATAAATCGATGAATTCCACGGATACGTAGAAATGAGTCCCTAAACGCGAAATATCCTGGAGAAAACAACGGTACATCAAAACGTCGCCATATTGAAAAGTTTGTTAAGTCGCTTATGTTGTTTCTCAACTCCAATTAGGCCACACCTGACTGAAATGTCGAGAAAACAATGCGCGAGCGCAACTTTCAAAAAAGTGCTTATAAAACTGCCATGATGAGTTTTGTGTACAAACTTCACAACTACAACAGTAACTCTTATTTACTAATAATGCGATTTGTTAAAATAGCTAGTAGTTCACTTGTAAAACAAGGGCTAACATGTTTTATTAGTGGAGTAATGTGTAAACAACAAACAATTGCATGTCAAAGGTTAAATTTGATAAATTTTATCAGGAAATGAAGAGTTCCACGATGGTGATGATGTCAGAATGTTTGTTGTGATTGCAATATTGTTCATTTGAATTGTTTTACACGATGTATTCACTTTCACGTAACCACGAGCATTGTATTATCAGCTTAAAATCCGCCAGCTTTGTTATTTTACTTGTATTCAGTGTAATTTTACAAGTAAATTCAGAACCGTTCACTGCTGGACTCAGCGCTTTTGGAGCGGCTGGCCTGGCGGCATTTTATACTGTTGCTGACAGGTTATGGTGTAATTTTAAAGAATGCTGTACAGAAAAATACATCCCAGCTAACATCACAAGTAAGTTTGGCACTTGTTTTCTCCGCGTTCGCTATATGTAAATTTTAAAAAAAAATCTAAATACAACTATTAAAGTTTACTTAACCCTCTTCTTACCGACGCCATAAAATACCATGTGAAAAATGGAAACCTATTTTCCCAGCATACATTTCGCACTAACTAGCCAAGACTTTTTGTGTAATTTCAACCAATTTCAATTGTCAAGTACTGCCTTTTAAGTAATCAAATTGACATTAAACTTTGTTTTCCATTTAGAATAGAATATTGTCTTCTCATTTCATGAAATTCAGACACATAAATTAAATTGTACGATTAGAGGAGGGTTAAAAAAATATGCTAATTACGATAAACATGACAGCTGTGAATTTTGTTAATAAATCATGAAACCAGAGATAAAAGTGAACTTTCCTAAAAGAGTAAGTCATGG